CCTGATGACATTCCTTTGAATTTCAGTAACTGAATGGTGATTCCTATTAGTATTTTTAAAATTAATTCTAATATCAAGATATCTAAACATTTAATTCAAAGCATAAGACAAAGGCATGGATTTTGTGAGCCAACCTTTGCCAAGGTGAAGTTTATGATCCACAGAGCTTTCCTAGTGGGTAAATGGGAAAAGATATAATTGTTGCTGATTCTCTTTCCTATGTTACTCAGAAATCTTTTCTGTAGAGTTGGGAGCTTTTCTGAAACAATACCATTGAAGCTTCAGTGAATAAGAAATGCTTTCTGCAAATAGGAATATTTCTGAATACTTTTGCTAGTGGAATAATAGTTCCACACTGAACCAGAGAATCAATCAACAACCATTCTTACAAATTTCAATAGAAATTACACTTAACTAACCATATGAATCAGATTTATGTTACCTTGTACTGAAGAGCTGGTCTATAGAGGCTAAAAATAATAAAAAACTAATGTAGTATCTTAAAAGCTAGCATTTTTTTTTTTGAATAGGATAAGCTTTAATGGATTTCAATCAACAGGCTGAAATTAGTTATAGGCTAAGGGAAACTTATTTAGGACTGAAAACACCTCCACCAACACATCTTACATGTTTTTATCAGACTTCTGCATCACGTAAAATACTTCAGCAACTTTAAAAAAAAAAATTCAAAGCAACTATACGGTAATTTTTCCGAAGGCATATGAAGCAAGCAAGTTGCCATGCAAACTGCTTATACCGCAAGTTTATGAGCAAGGTATCTAATCTCTTTTCAGCTAACTATTTAAATACTTGTCTAGTACTATTCCACTGTTTACAGTGGATAGGTCTTTTATTTGCAATACCCTGAGCAAGCTGATACCACAGTCCAGGTGTTTTTAGCAGTTCTGCAAGGCTACTGACGCTCCTATGCTATCTGTTTTTAAAGTTTTCTGAACATTGTCCCTGAGAAATTTTTTGAAGCCTTTTCAGTAAATTCTTTATTTTAAAAGGGTATTATAACAAAGAGCTACTAACTGACTAGCAAATGTCCTCAAGCAAACAACTAATAATAGCATCTTGCTTCTCTTTCTAGTTAAATAATTATGAACAGCTGAATTAAAGGGTACAGTAAGTAATTTTAAAACTGTTTATTCCAAAGTAGTATACTTATATTGCATTTGTATTATATACTAAAGATCCAGGTTCAGTCCCTGGCATCATCTTGGAAAGACAGATATTTGGAATATCATTGTCAAAGATTGTCAAATTAAATTTGGTACACTTTCTAATATTAGTTTTACCCTTGGACAGAATATTGCAAATTTAAAGTACAGTACATCTCTCACTTTAAAAGAGGTCAGAGAAACTATGCAAAATACCATAGATCATACAGTATTATCTTTAGCATTAAATTGGTGAAACAAAAGGCAGGAACCTATACATTTATTAGACATGCAAAGCATTCAACATAAATGTTGTCAACCCTGAAGCTGTCCTGACTGAAGCCATTTTGTCTGATTCAGTGTTTTCCACACTGAATCTGAAGGTTAGAGAAGGGGGTTTGAGATAAAGGGATTTTTGTAGCCAAAACAAAATACTTTCTCTTAGGAACCAAGGACATTCTCACACCTGGTTGGAAGAAGGCAGAGTGATGCCACCCGATTGTCGGACTGCATCGTGATTGGACCATGTGACTGATTGTTTTGAGAAAGTAGAAAATCTTTTACTTTTAATCAGGTGAAAACCACGGGAGTTTTCAGAATTGGTTTTCCCCAGATATGTGCCAATATATTTCCAATAAAAGTAATCTTTGAGGAATTCAATTGCCTCGGAGTCTTGCTTGCAATGGATTTATTACTTGGAACCCTGACAAATGTATTAACGTGAATGAATCATAACCATATCCTTTGAAAAGTTCGTGCAATTATTCTGAAGCCTATTCCTCATTCTATATGCATGTATGGTACATATGTGTACAGTCAATACTTCTTTTGAAATTTCCAGAAAAATGAGGTATCTCTATGTGCAACATATGTTCAGGCAGCCAGTGCAGCAATCAACAATGTTGTTCTAGTCAACCGACAGACAACTAACAGTTGAATGTCCAACCAACAAACCCTCCAAAGGACACATTTAACATTTTGAAAAGCAGTGCTTCGCTCAACCTAGCTTTTTCAAATGTGTAAGAGTCTTAATTTTTATGAGTAGACTCATCTTAATACAGTATGTATTTTCTCTAAAATGGCATTTGGGCAGTTCTTGACATTTCTAAAACCATTTAGAAATAGTTTCTAGTGATAGGACAATGAGTAATAAGGTTTATATAGCCAAACAATTGATCTATTGGTACGAGGAGGATATCCATTTTGGAGATCCCATATTTAGAGAAGTACAAGTTTTTAGAGGAATTTACTTTAACTAAAAAAATTAAAAGCATAAAGACAAATAAGGACTGAGCATACTCATTAGCCACTGAATGCTGAAAATGGAATCCTGACTAGAATAATTCTCACCCACCCCTTTAATATCCTTAATTAGATAATACTGATTTTGTATTGAACTAAGGCAGCTATTTGAGTCAGATCATCCAATCTATGTACAGTAAAATGGTTTTCTTTCATCCTTCTGCTGGAAGAAATATAGTGTCAGTAGACCATATGTCAGACACAGGAAACCAAAAGCAATTCAGCATTGAGCCACAGGACCCCTTCAAATTTTATCATAGGCATTGCTTTCTGAAAAGATGGATGTGTTCGTCGCAGCTAACTTCCGTGAACCTCCTTTCAATCCAACACAAATATTAATTTAAATTTTGAAGCCTTGAGCCTCTGACATATTAGACATCTCACACTCCAGCTGAACTGTGATTAAGCTGTAGACCCATTGGCCAATCAGCCAGTTGCTTAGCAACCTCATCTCTCCTTTGAAAGCAGTTGCTCTTCAAATGTGCCAGGTTTGTTACCTCAGTTCATGTTCCATGATAGGGAGGTTGTCCAGAAACAACAGGCCCACATTTTTGCCTTGAGTACCAATTGGCAGTTTGAAAGACTTTGGAGATGGAAACAGATGAGCTGAAACAAACCTGAGAAATATAAATATTTTTTAAAAGAAATAATTACTTTATATATAACATCTCTCTCCTACCATAGTATTATTTTTATGTTTATTTCCTCAGATACTTGCCTCTTCTATCCTGAATGACCTTCCTTGGAAACAAGTGAGATTGAATGCATACATCCTGTTAAACTATTGTTTTAACTAGGGATGGACAAGCAGCAGTGCCACATTACAGCTCCACATGATATTCAAGCCCAACTACTGGTAGTTAGTCCAACATTACTCTGGTTGCAATCCATACCTCTTATCTGAACTAAGGCAGCTTTGTCAGTAAGCATTATGGATGAGTTGGCACAGAACTGAACAGAGCCAGGCCAAGACTTTTGGTAGCCAAAAACAAGGATACGTGTTTGTATTTTACTTCAACCCAAATATCAGAAAAGTGCCCTCAATAGCGTCTAGAGCAGCACACTCCCTTAGGAAATTCAGATGAGGAAGGCTGCCCTCAATAGAGCTATTGTCCAGCAAAAGGGAGTCCAGAAGGCATGAAAAGGCTGCCACAAGTTGATTGCCTTGCCTGCAGAATAGACCTAGCTAATCTGGTTGAAAATACCCCAAACTGCACCCAACAAATGTGCAACACTCCAGCTACCATCTTTATTAGGTTATTGTTTATTGTTTATTTCTATCTATCTAAATGCATTGGCCACCCAACTCCAATGGCCTACACATCTTGAAAAAACATTAAGACAGACACCTCAAACTAAAGTGATATTTATGAACAACAAACTTGACATTACTTATATTATAGCATATTATTTATTATAAGGGCAAGATTGATAATGGAAATAGAATTGTGGGCCACAAGCAATACCTGGCATGCCAGTCAGCTATTTGGTACTAGAAGTGTGGGGCAATATTGGAGTTGGCAGTATCTGTGAAGCCTGGAGATGCTGAGAAGCTTGTCTCTCAAGATGAAAGTGACTGGGGAAAAAACAGGTGGCAATGAATCTTTCTTGATGGCATTTGGTGGCAGTGGATTATTTTTCAAAATGTACCAGCAACCTCCGACAGCTGCTTGGCAAATTGCATACAGCCTATGGGTTGTATGTTGTCACAGGCTTTGTTTAGTGCCCACGTAGTTTGGACCAGAAGTGATACTGTCTTAAATCCAAATTTTGTGTTTTAATCTCTCAGTGCACTCAAACCAATACAATCAAATTGATTTTGACCAGCAATGCCCTCTCTGACAACTTGGATACGTACTGTAATTGCATTTTAAGAGCCTTATATGTGAAACATTCATTTTTCTAATAGCAAATTGGGTGATGAGTACTGCTTGGAAAATAATGAGTTTCAGTCGAGATACAAGAGAGAAGCATTTCCTTCAATTTTAGAGTACACATGCATATATTTAGATATTTTAAAGAACTGGCATCATTCAAGGACTTATATGTAATCCACTATAATCCCCACTTGATTATGGTTGTATGAAATTCAGCATAAGAAATTAATTATTAATTATAAAATATAACTTAAATATTTAGATATATTTAAATATAATACCTGTTTTCCTAACTTTCCAGATTTTACTTCTTTTATTGAATTATGTGGACCCACTTTGTTCAGAGATTTAGCAACACGATCTTTTGTAATCTAAATTATTCATTGTTCAGTTTGCTTTTTCCAAGTTTGTTCGCATTCATACATAAGATATAATCAAACAATCTATTTGTATCAAAAGATTTTATTCAATGCAGCAAAAAGGATAATATGGTTTCATTTTGCTTCTTTCAAACAGAAGTTGATAATGTTAGCTGAAGTCTGTATATATATATATATATATATATATATATATATATATATATATATATATATATATATACACACACACACACACACACACACACACACACACACGTTACTTTGATTTTTTTTGTGTCCAGAAATATTCTAAAACCATGCAGAAATTATACAGGGATTACAGAATTGCTCAGATCTGCAGTACCACTTCACTGTAATATTTTCCATTGCACTTATCAAAAGTTTCATCACATGTGTCTGGAGGGAGTTGGTTATTGTTATCTTTAATTGGAGACAATGGTTTTGATTTTCTACAGGAAGGTAGTATTTCTGATTGTCTACAAGCAAAAAAAAAAAGTATGGTTAACAGTGGTATAAACGAGTATTAACAAAGTTTAAAGTGAATTGAATTTATTGTCAGTCTCCTCAGAGCTACATTTTTACTGCATACCATTAAAAACAACTGGTTGGCTGGATTTCTCTCTCTCTCCATTACCTCCCCACTACTTTCGGAAAGTAAATCCTGCCAAAGTCAGTTATCCAAGATGGGAAGAAGATATACTGCTTTTGTCTCAAGAAGCTGCAAGCTCTTTATTCCCCAGCAGCTGGAGGTACCAGCAAAGCCAAGGAGAAATTGCTTTATGGGAAAATAATGAAGCTAGAAGGAATGAAAAGTTATTTCTGAAAACTGTCTCCAAGATAAACATTAATACTTTAGCAGACATAGAAGAGGAATTGGTAAGAAGATAACTGATAGTTTGGTTTTTGTTCTGACCTTAAAAATAATCCCTTAGAACATGTTTATTTTGTTATGAGTAAAGAAATATATAAAGAAATCAGAGTTAAAATCATTAGCTGTAGATAAATGCAAAGATTAAGCCAACGGACAAATTCTGCAGTTAATAAAGCTACAACCGCAGGAAATAAAAGCAGGGGTGGGATGCTACTGGTTCTGCCCGGCTCTATAGCACCGGTAGCTCTGAAGAGCAGCAGACACAGGACTGGTTCTGTGTCTGCTGCTGTTTGGCCCATCCACCCGCCCGGGCTGTTAAGTGACCTTTATTTCCTGCTTTTTCAACCTCAGCTGCTTTGCGCAGCACAGCTAAGGTTGAAAAAGCAGTAAAAAAGCGGTTTTTCAAACACGGCACACCCGCGCGCAGCACTTATCAGCTGTCCAGGCAGCACAGCTTATCGTGTATTACACGCGCATAATTACCAAACTGGTAGTAACACAGGTTGAATCCCACCCCTGGATAAAAGTTTGTTTCCTTGGTATATACTTTATTCCTAATCATTTAAAGAGGATGGAATTCAACAAATACTCCTAAAATTAGAGGAAGAATGAATTATCTTAAATATGTATGTTTCCCTCTCCCCCTTATCTAAAGTGAGCCACTCTTGGCAGCCTCCATTAGCAGACAAACTTAATTCTCTGCGGATTCAAATGGTTACTTTAAGGACTATAAATGCACTATTCTGTTTAAAAAGTCATTAAGCTAATGCCATGTTTTAGGACCATATATTGTTTCATCAATACTTCCCTTTCTCCACAGAACATTGAAATAAAACAAATGAACATTTAAATTAAAAGAGATTCACCTTTTGAACTGGAAGCTCTTCCAGAGATCATTAATTTTCACCTGCAGTCCTGACTTGTTTTCAGCATCTTGTTTTTTCTTTATACTTGTTATTTTCTTGCTTAAGCCACTAACTTTGGCAGGTATCAGTAATTTATGTTTTGCCACCATAGGAGATTTTAGAGAATTGGTTCGACATAATGCAGGAATCTGAAGAGAGAGAGAGAGTAAAAAATTTGTTTTGTTTCAGTGAAGTCTTGTAAATTGTCCCTGTAAAGAGTAGACATTGATAGAAGAAAGTATTTGTAACTTCAGGGTTGAACTGCGGGATCCTTGGTGCTCTCTGAGCTAGGTGGTTTCCTTGCAGACATTTCATTACCAAACTAGGTAACATCAGCAGTGCAAGCATATTACCTAGCTTGGCAATGAAACTGCCTCAAGGAAACTGCCTAGCTCAGAGAGCACCAATGACCTGACAGAGTTCATATTCTACCCATGAGCAAGGTATTGATTAAAAGTGTGATCCTTAATTAGATAATACTGATTTATAGATCAATTCAGATCTCAGTTAGCAATAAACTTAAACATTTCCAAGGTACCTTTTGATTTGTATTTCATTGTTGTGAACACAGCTAGTAAAAGCTAGGGAATTTTTATAGTTGAACATGCATGTCATTGCAAACACTTAAAGACTGGATTTGTATAGCACACTTAACTCTAAACGCAAATTAGCAACACACAACTGGATTTTCATTTGATGCTACATTGAAACAAACCAGGTTAGTGGGAGAACATGATTCATATAACATGCTGAGAAAATAGTTGGGTTTCTTACAATATAATAATCAGAAACAATTCCATTTAGTCTTGTCTAATTGTTATGCAAACTCACCCCAAAATATTTCTGAAATAGTTTCACTTGTATTAAAATCTAAGGATCAAGTGTGCACGCGGAGAGCGAGAGAGGGGGTAGGGAAGGAGGGAGGGGTGGGTGGGTGGGAGGAGATAAGCTATTTTTTTGCAACTTTAATTAAAACACTGAAAACAATATAATAATACAAAACCATATTGTTAAAATACAAATACAATTATGCAAACAAGGCTTCATATACACATACCTCAAGAATGAGGAAAAAGAGGCAACTAACCACAAGATGTCAGTATAATTCTGAATAATATAAAGTATTTTAATCAACTAATGACGTTGTGAGTGTTCTATAGGCAAAACTTATTAAAAATGACTTCCAGCAGAGAAGTTTAAAAAGCAATAAATCATACACACACACAAAAGCTAAAATAACGTATATCAGCCATTACTATCTTTTCAATGTGTCTTTATGAGGCTTCATTGCTCAGTGTTCATTCTCTCCTGCTAAACACAGTATCGGAATTTTTACTCAGTAGGGATCAAATGACTAATTATATTATTTCTAACAGAAAAATTAAGAATATTCTCCCACTAAAGAAGCGAAATTAAAGAAACAGAAAAAAATCCAATGTTACCATGTTTGATCAACTGCTGAAACCAGCTGTGTTCAACCTAATCCAAAATCTTATGATCAGAGTGGAACATTATAAATATATATAACTTATACTTCTGTTAACTAAACCTGATTTTAAAAGGAAATAAAATACAGTGTTTTAGATAGTTCTAGCATATAAAGTAACTTCTCAGTTTAAAAAATATTGCACAACTGACTGAAACCATGATCTAGACCTCTGTAGTGAGCTTCAGGAGTGAGGGTTCCTTATTCTCTCTTTCCTGTTTGTGCAAGAGGTGAAAGAAATAACAAGATCTGAAACAATAAGATTTGCATGATTTAAAGCATGCCATACATGCTTAATTATATATGCCTTATCAACTGTACTGCCATTGGCAGCCTGAGCTGGAATGCCTTAGGCAGTTTAATGATTTTATGATAGATGTGAGGGTCAAATCAAAGATTTTCAAATTTCATTTAAAGCTTACTTTGGTTGAAACAAGCTTACTGAATTTGCATATGATACAGTGATGGGATTCAAATTTTTTATTACCGGTTCTGTGGGCGTGGCTTGGTGGGCATGGCAGGGGAAGGATACTGTAAAATCTCCAGTCAGAGGTGGTATTGGCCGGTTCTCCAAACTACTCAAAATTTCCACTACCAGTTCTCCAGAATTGTTCAGAACCTGCTGAATACCATCTCTGATATGATGCCAAACTGCTTCCGTTTAAAATAAACGTGAAAGAAGATAGAGCCTAAAGTCTGAAGCTCACATCAGTTGTAGTTTTAGGTACTTGCAAGAAGCTATTGCAGCCTTAACATGAGTAATATGACAACCCTATGTATACAGGCAGTCCTCGATGTATGACCACAAGTGAGCCCAACATTTATCTTGCTAAGTGAGAAATTTGTTAAGTGAGTTTTCTCCCATTTTACAACCTTCCTTGCCACAGTTGTTAAGTGAATCACTGAAGTGGTTAAGTTCATAATATTTGAGGGGCTGCCACAGGGAGGAAGGGGTCAAGCTATTTTCTAAAACTCCTGTAGGCCAGACAAGGAGAGATTTAACCTGGAAACAAGGAGAAACTTTCTGACAGTGAGAACAATCAACCAATGGAACAGCTTGCCCTCAGAAGTTGTGGGAGCGCCATCACTTGAGACTTTCAAGAAGAGATTGGACTGCCATTTGTCAGAAATGGTGTAGGGTCTCCCGCTTGGGCGGGGGGTTGGACTAGATGACCTACAAGGTCCCTTCCAAGTCTGATTATCTGTATCTGTATCATAACAAGGTTTTTAAGTGAATCTGGCTTCCCTATTGATTTTATTTGTCAGAAGTTTACAAAAGGTGATCGTATGACCCTGGGACACTGCAACCATCATAAATACAAGGCAACTGAATTTTGATCACGTGAGCATGGAGATGGCTGCAATGGACGTAAGTGTGAAAAACTTTCATAAGTCACATTTTTCAGTGCTGTTGTAACTTGAACTGATGTAAATCAAGGACACCTGTACTTTCAAAGTACTAGGAACTCTGAGGTAACAGAGGGGAGAACATTAGTAATATTTACTTATATCACAGGATGGTGGTGATCATAAATAATATCTAGAATATGTTATAATTAATCCATGCATGTTAAAACAGATCCTGTCTGCAAGCCATACTTTAGTGTTTAGATAGAAAACAAATTACAAATGAAAAAGAGGAAAAAGATATACCATATTTTTGGAAACTGTGCTCTTATTATCACTACATTCTGAAACTGGAAGGATCTGAGAATTCAGATTATCATTTGGTTCTGGACTGCTGTCAGATTCCTGTCATTTAAAAAAAAAAGACAGGCATTATTTTACCTTAAATGTGAACTCCATGTTATTTTTAAGAGTAAAATGCCTGAAGCTATGCCTAAATGAAGTACAGTAAAACAGTTGATTTTTCAATCCAGTATGATCCTTAAAAGTGATATTAGAAATTCATTTCCAATAACTAGCAAAGTGACACAACAGTTATAATCCCGTAGCAACTTTCACGAAAGTCATCCCTATTAAAACCAATGATGATATTATCGGAATGTCTATTAGAAAATGAAGATATCTCATAGCTTAACACGTTCTGACAGTCTAACAGTTAATCAAATTAAAATGTATTAGTTTTCAACAATAAACAGGCTTATCAGGGAGGCAGACTTTCATAAATAGAAGTTATTTTATAAATGGAGAGCCAGATGTGTAACTATTGCAACAAACAAGAACAGATTCAGACAATCCCTTTGAGAGTGCCATGACAATTTAATAAACTACTTAACTAAAACATAGAATAATCTTACTTTGGCAGGAGTAGCATTTTTCTTGGCCACTGGGGATTTTTCTGAAGTATCCACCTTGCTTTGCAACAGCTTGTCAATATTCTCTTTTGAGGAACACCGTGGTTCTTTTAAAAGTGATGTCTCTTCATCAGACTCTTTATTTGCTGGTGAGGTTCTTGGTGAGCCAGTTACACTATAGTCTTTACCGGTGTCTTTACTGGGTCTTTGATACTGCTTTAGCAGTGCTATGCTTTGTGATAAGCTAGGAGTCAAAGATTTCTCTGCAAAGCTTTTAGACCAAGTGAAACAGCTGGACTGTCCTACCCCAGGTGTTGATGAGATTTGTTCTAGTTCACCAGTTTCCGATGAACAGAGACTGTGGTGTTCTGTTAATTTGTTTATTTCCTTAGCTGGAGTATCAGCCTCGTTGTCCTGTAGTGGCTGGTCAGTTTTATTCTTTGATATAGTCTCAGGCAAATCTCCAATGTTGCAGAAAAACCTAACATATATTGAGCAAGTATAGGAAGAATTGAAAGATAATATTAAAAGCTGTGTTCATCAATCTAATTGTGTTAAAATGTTATAAGGTAAAGGTAAAGATTCCCCTCGTACATAAGTGCTAGTCATTTCCGGCTCTAGGGGGCAGTGCTCATCTCCGTTACAAGTAGAAGAGCCAGTGCTGTCCAAGGACGTCTCTGTGGTCATGTGGCCAGCATAACTAAACACTGAAGGCACACAGAACGCTGTTACCTTCCCACCAAAGTGGTCCCTATTTTTCTACTTGCATTTTTACATGCTTTCGAATTGCTAGGTTGGCAGAAGCTGGGACAAGTAATGGGAGCTCACTCCGTTATGCGGCACTAGGGATTCGAACCGCCGAACTGCAGACCTTTCTGATCGACAAGCTCAGCGTCTTAGCCACTGTTATAGTCTTATTGAAAATTATAAAAAAAACTATATAAAAACTATAAAAAAAACTGAAAAAGGAAATTATGAACTTATGTTAAAATTATGGACATATGCTGAAATAATTAGAAATTAGTGAATTATAACTACCTCTAGATCTATGCTTTCTTACCACTCTCAATAGTTTTACTAATGTAATATGTCAAAACATGCTAGTTAATATCTATTTTTAATGTTAAAAAAATCTATGAATCCAATGATGCATATATAACACAGGTGCTAAAGGCATGAAAGTCATGTCATTCAGCCAGAAAGCCAGGAGATGAATCAAATAATTATGTCGAACACATTGCAACACAAATGCAAATCTATTTTGTCATAATTGCATTATAACTAGAATCTTTGAGGTTCAGAACAGTGAAACATGCTTTCTAAATTCATTATATGGTCCATTCTATAGTGAATAAATAGCTTTACACGAACGTATTATGCATATTAGTGTTTGGTGGCATAGTCTTTGTTTATTTCTTACAATTAAGAAAAAAATATTTTGTGGTTCTAAGCTAAATAATATTTTCAGAATCTTTTTTTTTCATGCACAGAATATATAAGACCATAAATAAACAGGAGAAAGTATTGCCTGTATCTAATGAAGTCAAGCATTTCTTTTTTACCAAAAGAGCAAATTTTTAAATAATCAAATGGTAGAAGAAATGTGCTTCAGCAAATGAATGATTAATGGCAAACTACTAAAGGGCTGCACTATTTTTCCTCAGTAACTCTATTGCTCAGTCCTGCCAAAATAAATACATTTGTGGAAGTGGTATGCAAACTTGTATTTTGGCAGTGAGCAAGGAAGGTATAAAAAGGAGGCTAAATTAACTGCACATTTTGGTAGTTCACCGTTTATTTATTTATTTATTTATTTATTTATTTATTCATTCATCATATGGTATACAGTGTCAGGGAAATCTACACATGCTAGACACAATGCAGTCCTGAAAGCTTAGACCATTAGTTCATTTTGTTTGGAACTGTACTTGCACATCTATCCTTGGTGCACTGTGGGGTTGAACTAGCTTTTATACGAAACAATTTGTGGTGCTCAGGTTGCTGGCTCTTCTGGGCTCCTCCTCCATTCTCACCTTCCCTCATGTCACAATGCCTTGCCTCTATTTTTGTCTCACCAAAGTGGTACCCATTTATCTACTCACAATACTGCATGCTTTCAAACTGCTGGGTAGGCAGGGGCTAGAGATCGAGTAACAGGAACTTGTTCACATAGTCTGCAAAGTACTTAGTAACTATAACCCAATATAGAATATTTAGAATAATCTCAGTTGGAAGTTGCCTCAGAAGAAATCAAAGTAAAATCTTGTTTGTATAAAGTTGACTTGTATTTGAACTGCCATCAAACAGTGGCAACTTTTGTTTATGCAGTTAACTTTTAAAAAATAATATTCCTGAGGTGTTTATGGCCACATCCTCATCATTAGTCATCCTTTGCTTCATTAGCTTATCTTAAACTTGTAATTTAAATGCTTTGACATTTAAGTCCATAAAAATGACTGTATATCTATAGATTCTTATAAGGGCTGACAGGTAGATCCCTCATGTCACTTTTTGACATGTCAAGCAATCAGGTGTCCTTAAGGCTTTAATTGTGTAATGTTTTTCAACTTTGGCAACTTTAAGGTTTGTGGACTTCAATTCCCAGAATTCCCCAGCTTACTGGCTAGAGAATTTTGGGAGTTGAAATCCACACATTAAAGTTACCAAGGTAGAGAAATGCTGATGTAGACACTGCAATTCCCAGAATTCTCAGCCAGCACACAGTCTCACCTGGAGAGCTCCATATTGAATAAAGTAGCTGTGATATTAATTATATTTGATAATATGTTGTGTAGTCCTGATTAGACTATTTGATTCTGCTGACAGTGTTTAAGGATTTTAAAAATATCATTTTCTTTTAAAAAAAAATAACTGAAATTGCAGGAAGGCAATTTAAAGACACATACCTGCTTCTGGTTCCTGGAACAATCACGGCACCACTATTTTCAGTCTCCTTCTGAAAAATAGTGGCAAATTTATTTCTACGCCTGGGCTGAACACAAGAATTGTCCTTATTTTTGCATGCGTCCTGGGAAGCACAGACTGCAGATGTTCCACTAAAAAGTTGCTGGTTCTCATCAAGTTTTTCTGTTTTGGTTTTTTTTGAGTTTGAAAAATACTGGCTTAACAGTTCTTCTTCTGATGCTTCTTCTAAATATATAAAAGATGAATTAAGTTCAATTATACTAGATCCACATCAGCATGTTTATAGTTTGATATTAATATAATAAACAAATAGCTGTATACTAGTTTATTTATACATATTTATTTATTTATACCTCAAAAGAGAAAAAGAAAAAATGAAAAGTTGAAAGAAATAAACAAATTATATTTGTTTTAACATATTTAACTATTAGTGATACCTTTGGGTGATATATAGAAAATACATATAAGGAATTAAGAAAGATACTATGGGTAAATGCTTATTTTTTTCCTAACCATTGTATTGAGCATTCAAGATTTACATGCTAAAGGTAAAACTAGAACAATGATGTGTGTGTGTGTGTGTGTGTGTGTGTGTGTGTGTGTGTGTGTGTGTTGGTATTGTTTTTTAAATGTAGCAATCTTACCATGCCTCGGTCTTTTTGCCACTAGCATTTTGCTGGGAAGTTTGAGTCCTTTTAAATTAATTAGCCGCTCAAGTCCTCGGGTTGTGGATTTCTCTAGCAAAGGTGTTGAATTTGTGACAATTTTTGCAGTAAAACAGGGTTTGTAGTCCTGGTTCCAAATACTCTTTAAATAGGATGACTTCTCATGAGTGTAACTGACATCCCAGCTGCGGCTTCTTGGTAGTACAGACTATACCAAAAGAACAGAAAGAAAAACATAAAGTTATATTACTGTCTGTTTCTCTAAATTACACTGAAGCTAACTTTATAACTAGTTTAGAGTTTTCTCAAACATGTTTTGGTACCTTGCCATTGGACACTGAACAAAAGGAACCTAGGACATGATCAAGTCTACCGAAAAGATTGGCTGTTGCAGTCTTTTCAACTCATATGTGCCTTAACCCCTTTCTGATTGGGAAACTCTTGAAATACAGTTGCCTATATGATAATCACTTTACTTATACAATGGTTTTAGTTTTTCTAGATTATGTACTGGCCAAAACTGGTTTAACTCTGAACGATTCTGTATTGTCTTATATACAATAGCCTTTCCAGCCACTTGAAAATAGCTACATGTCCTGCAGCTGTCAACTCGTCTCCAGATTATGTTCTACAAAGACATCCAGAACTTTCTTTTGTACTGACTGAACTGTTGCCAAATATGATCTCAGGAGTTTGCATTTGTCCTGATGAAATTTATCTTGCTGTGTTTCTGTCCATTGCTCCAACTTGTCAAGATTCTCCGGAATCTTGATAGTTAAATTTATTTTTGACATTAACCAAAATTTTATATTAGAATTTGAACAACAAAGCACATGGTGACACAAAATATTAACAATCTATAGCTAATTGTTTTATAATATGAGAAATAAGAAATAATTATGTATATACTGTTTCCCTGTATTTATCAAGATTGAGCTAAAATTTGCAACTTTTTGGACGATTTCTGAACATTTACTAATTAAAAAGAACATATTCTTTCCTATAGAATAGCTGGAGTGATTAGCAAGAGTGATGTGAATTCTGAACAGCATATATTATAGAATGGACTATTCAATAATATATGTGGTGTTGCTGTGTGGTATTTTTTATCATAATAAACAGAACGTCAATATGTGATGTCAATTCAACTATACACATATCTATTCTCAGAAGAGACTGTTATGTCTTTTTTCAAAGCCAATGTTGATAAAGAATTGTTTAATGAAAGCAAAATGCTCATCTGTGAGGAGTGAAGATGAATATTGAAACACACAGAAATACAGTATATTTCATCCCTGAATCTTGTTACTGTTTTCTAAAATGATTTGTTATTCCTTTAGGTGGTCTGCAAATCTGGTACCTTTATGTACTTTACCTAAGTCATGTATAAAGATGCTGAACAACACAGGACCTACACTTGTAGGATTTTAGTCAAAACTTTCTTCCAGTTTAAACTGAAGCCATCAATATATGCTTGTTTGGGTACAAATGTTTAATTAACTCTGTATTCATCCAAAAATAGAACAGACCAGCCCCAATTTTGCCACATCCCGTGGAAGTCAAGTTATATTACGTCTGCCTCATCCCGTGATGAACTAAACTGGATACTATCAAAAAAGGAAATCAGGTTGGCTTGGCATAATTATTCTTAATAAAGTCACGGTGTTTTTCAAAGCAGTTTTCTAAACTGACTGCTTAATAGTCTCCCCTGGAGTTTTGCCTGTATCAATATCAATTAAAATTGCGAGTCCTTTTCCTCTTATTTTTGAAAGTAGGAACAATTGTCCTCCAATTCTTTCTGACACTATGCTAATCTTCCATGATTTCTGAAAAATCACAAAAAAGGCATCACATGAGGCCCAAACCAACAAAATCAGAAAATTCTCCAATATGAGACTATTCAGAAAAAAAGAAGTCTTATCAGCAAAGCGTCCATAAAACTTCCTTTCCTACAGGCTATTGACAACCAACTGAAGATAGTTATAAAGTCAAATCTAACAGGCAAGTCCTGTCAATTCAAATCACATTAAAGGGTTGAATACAGAATATTTAGCGCAGAGGATACTAATGCCTGAAGAGACTCAACAAGGACAAAAATAGTTTTGTAGTGCCTCCAAGTGGTTGTTAACTAATATATCATCTAAAATTGTAGTTTTGATACAGGATTTTTAGTACAATGTATCAAATCCTGGCATAAAATGTCTAACTCTATATACTTCAGATTTATCTAAGTCTGAGATCAAAGTCAAGCAAAAACACAAGGACAAAATTGTTCTTGATAGATCATTAAAATATTTTTTTAGATACAAAATGTTACCGGTGACACATCAGGATCGTAGTCATCAATTTGCTCCATTGTGAAAATATCTTTATTTCCAAGTGCAATTTGAAAAGCAGTCCCATCATCAAAGTATCTAAGTGAATCAATCTCAGAAAAAGCACCTCTTTTAATTAGAACTTTTTTAAAATATAGTTTCATTTTTATGGAGTTCATAACTCTGCACAATTCACATAGAAATGTTTATGCAGTTTTACAACAGATGAAAAACAAACTTCACCCTTTGTTTTAAGTAGATATAAACTTAAATAACTTAATAGCTAGCCGAGGGATTAAGACTGCATATAACCTAATCCCAACTTCATTTTCCTGGAGGTTTCAATGAGATTATGAAATGGCAGGCTTCCTACAATGGCTTATATTATTTGAAAAAGCATTACTATTTTTTCAAGCTTAATACTATTCTGAAGGGGATCAACATAAGCCAAATCAAATCTAAATAGCAATTGATCTAGAAACAATTCCTTTTCTGCAATAGCAGTGCTTAAAGATTTTACCAACTGACATAGAAACAACTTGATGGTGACATTTTTATGCCCTCAGAGTATATTACATTTTTTATTTGATAAAGGATACTTTCCAGCATAAACTAGAGTTTCTGGATCAACATCATCTTTATAAGCATTCAAAGGAACAAGTTTCCTTCTGACTGGGTCAAAAACCAACTGATAGAGGAAAGTATTATTAGCACGAATAAATCCTTGTATGTATTCTTCGGATACTGAAATGTTCATTTTCAAATACTGTCCCATTTTTCCAATGACCTATCAGGAAAACAAACAAATAGTGCTCATGAGTAATAGCAAACACAAGTGCTTAGCTCATTAATAATCTTTTTAGTCAAATTATGGAACAATTTCCATAATCATCTGTCCTCCTATCATATCATTCACTAATGATCTTAGAAACAGATGTTCAGAAAGCAAGTTAATAGCCAAACTAATACCTTTATGAATTTACATATTAGTGCTTTGGACTTTAGAAAATAACCTTTCTCATAACCCAGATGTTCTAGATTTTCTTCATGCAAAGTCCAAAGCACTGATACGATTGTCAGTGACAGCAACTTATCCCAAAATATGTTATCATTGTCAAATTATATTAAAATACTTTTTAAAAAATCCCTTAGAGGTGTATTTATGCTGCCCTGCTCAAAACAAACAAGACAGAGAAAGAAAAAGAAAGAGATGAAAAAAGGAGGGTCAAGTGGGAAATAAGGAAAATTAGTTCCAGATCCAAGCCACACTTTTCATGTCATTATTTTAATTTCTACTATCCTGTGACAAGAAACAAGTAGATGACACTGTGTTGACTAGTCTGGAATTTGCTGTGAAAGCCAAAGACCTTCACTAATTATTATCCAACACAAACAACCATATACTTCTCTTACAGATCATCACATATTGTTGTTGTGAGGCAAATTGTGAAATGTTTTAAGTCAATGGCCTGAATACCCGATAAATATAAAACCCACCCATCCCAACTTAATGACTTATACCGAGTTAGATTGTATGTACAGCAACAGGGACATCCGTCATGGGAGACCTTGAACTCCTCAGAGGAAAATTCTTAGCTGCGGATTGTGCAACACTTATGAGTTGTAGGGGGGAAAGATGCTTTAGAGCTTGTGAGAATGTGCACGTAATATCTGCCACATCTTTTCCTGGAACTGTGCTGTAGCATACAGCTGATGATACTATGAAATGACTCGGCTACTTAAGGAAATGCCAACAAGTACAACCTGCTTATCATCCAAGCATCTTTTTCCCTTTGTATCCAAAGTGCTGCAGCCTGTGACAAAAATATTTATCAATTGTAGCTACAGATTCTTCTGTCTCATAGCATCCAAGGTTATGCAAAAAGGCAGCCTTCTCAATTTAATGAGATGCTTCTTCTACTTTAGGGGCCTGATAAGAAGGGGTGGGGTTAGGCCTTTTTTATTATAAAACAATCATAGTATTCATTTTAATAATCATTTTATTTATTATAAAATAATCATAGAATTCTTTATTGACCAAGTGTGATTGGACACACAAGGAATTTGTCTTGGTGCAAATGCTCTCAGTGTACATAAAAGAAAATATACATTCATCAAGAGTCAAGAATCTAAGGTACAACACTTAATCATAGTCATAGGATACAATAAGCAATCAAATCATACTAGGAAACAGTCAATATAAATTGTAAGGATACAAGCGATAAAGTTACAATCATACATATTAAGTGACAACCGGCCTAAAAGAACTCTGAAAAGGCATCAGAACTACACCTGTTATCTGAGATGCTTTTATGCCACAGAATGCTGGTAGGCAACCAGCTGTATTGCAGATGATGCTGAACTTCTAGCAGGCACAGCTACATGGCTAATTGTAAGAGATACAGGATACAGATATACCGTATATGCCGGCGTATAAGACGACCCGGCGTATAAGATGACCCCCCAACATTTCCACTCAAAATATAGTTTGTTATATACTCGCCCCCTCTTCCGCACGCCTTCCACTTTTGCACTTTTTTTTTTTT